ATCCTCATTCCTATAAACTTATCTAATTTATTTGTAGATCGTTTAAGAACATTAGGATAAATACTAAAAAAATTAATTAAGAGCTTTTCTCAAGATTAAGATTAGCTTATCAACTTTAGATAAATAATATTGATGTATTTTAAAGATGTAATTTCTTCAAAAAATATCCTAATGAAATGTAATTATCAAATTTTTCTCTAATTTTCAAAGCTCAAATTAAAACAGAGAAAGAATAATTGCAAGCCTATTCGAAAACTTAGAAGAGGTCTATATAATTTTTATTGGAATTTATATTAATATAATTGAATACTGATTAATTTGTATCCATTATTTAAAATGCTTATGATTTATCAATTACTTTATTTTATTATTAAGCTCTTGAATTTTCAAATAAGGGCTCTTTAATTTAATAAAATCTCGTCAATTCATTTAAAATTGATTTTGGTTTTTGTCCAACTAAAAATCTAATAAAAAAATGATTATTTTTTGAATATTATCCTTGTAATTTCGCTTTATTATTCGTTTCTGAAAATCTATTATAAAACAGCAATTAAATTGAATATAATCGAAATTTTATCCCTATTTGTAAAACCTGAAAAAATTCCATTCAATTTTAATAAGAAAATTTAGTTATAATGGTGAAGGCATATGAAATTCTAAGTAATCATGGCCAATTTACTTTTCAGTTCTTCAATTAACTCTCAGTATTTTATAATAATATTGTAAAAAAAGTTACATTATTCTTATCAATATTTATTTTAATTTATTTTTCTTAATGTTAAAATTTTATTATGAGTTTTTTAATTTGAAGGAGTTCTTAATTAGTTAAATAAGATTAAGAATCTAAATATTCTATCTTTGTAAGTATACCATCTCCTCCATATGAAAAGGGGTATTCTAGAATCCATCAAGCTATGAGTAATCAAATTGGCTATGTTTATTCTTAATTATTAATAATATGGAAGTGGAAGTTCTTATTAATAGGGTATGGTAATGTAATACTATAGTGTGTATAAGGTTCCTTCGAATAATTAATAATTTATAAATATATAATAATATAACACCTATATTATGACCTAAATTTAAATCTTTTTTGGATAAAAATTATATGAAGATTTTAAAATTAGATATTTGTAAACTAAGTTGATTAATTTATTAGAAAATAGTGAATTCTTTTCTGTTATTTGTGTTATCATATTGTTCTTGATTATTACAAAGAAGAATGAGATTGATAGAGTTTTAGTTTAGTAGATTTTAGAATTTTGTAATTTAAACTTTTATTAATATTTTAATTATTCCCAATAAACAACTTCGCTTTAAAAGGAATACATCATTATTTAAATTAAATTATTCTATCATTCATTTCTAAAATAATTTAATTCTAATTGTCTATTATTCTTATGATATGAATCAAATAAATCGAATAAAATAGGATAGGATATTCAAGATTATAAAGTCAATCATTATGTCTAATATTTGTTAATGAATATAGCTAATAAAAAAGACTCAAGTGAATTTGTTTTTAAAAGATATTAAGTAATATAATTTTCTCTTTAACTTTATATTTATTAACTATTTTTCTTAAATTTATAATATAAATCATGTTGAAATAAAGCAAAGCCAAAGTATCAACTTAAATCAGTTGTCGAAAATTCAAACTTTCTCTTAAAAAACTGACTGGCCATCAATTTAAAATACTATAAAAATATTTATATTGTCTCATTAAATAATTTTTAAAATGTCATGTACTAAATCACAACTTAAAAAATTGAAGCAACACTTGATAGAATGACAAATTATAATGTACACAGGATTTCAAAATATTAATGGCAAAGTTTTTTAAGCATTTATTTTAGTAAGTTAGCTAATTGCATCCTATATTATGAATAAATTCTTATAAATGATAGTTTAAGTTAAGAAAAAAATGAGATCTGAAATTACAAGACAGAATTTTAGGAATAGAATCTGGAAAATTTGCATAGATGACTTTATTGACTATGCTTTCCTAAAAAGTTTTTTGCTTGTTTTCTAGAGCCAATGAAGCCTTTATAATAAACCAAACATAATTACCCAACTTCATATAAGTAAAGCAATCTGAATCTGTTTATTACTAGTTGTAAAAGTTCTATATGTCCAATTTATCTGCTTTCTCGAAAAAATTATCTATGAACCAAAGTTCTGGGTTCAATATCTCTATAATAAGAACAATTTGAATACTATTCTTTATTATAAGATCATAAAGGTGTTCATTAGTCTCATGCCTGCCTAATTCATTTATTAAGACCTCGTTCTTAAATCAAAGACAAATCATCCTCTATTGCTTGGGTTTCCTGTGTTAGTATTTCTTCAATTATCCATTCATCAATCTATATATATGCTAACCTAGAAGAATTCAATATACTTTATTTTCATCTTTAGAAGATGGGCAATCTTTGACACTAGCCAATTTAAATATAATTATCTGAAATTGCCTTAATAGTATGTTCTAACATGTGTTTTATTCAAGAATTTATTAATATAATTAGATTCAATTTTAGATCACATCCTATGTTGATAAATAATTAAATTTTGAACATTCTCTTCTAATTTAGAATATAAAATTAAATCATATCTATCCCAAGAACGACTGTATTATTAATCAGATTTGCAATCTATGAATCATTTTTTAACCTATCAATAATAGTTGTTGTCTCTATTAATATTTTGGAATTAAATATTTTTTCAAGAATATATCAATTTTAATTAAAATAAACTAATGAAAATACTATAATAATTCTTATTGTGTCAGATAAATATAAATAAGTATTCTTGATAAAATGAGTAAAAGTAGCTATCAATTAGTCTTGATAACGCTAAAAATTTAATTAGTCTTACAAAAGCTAAATAAGTATTCTAATTTTAATTATAGGTTTTGTTGCTGCTAAGTTTATTACTTAATTAGCATTATCAAATAAATAATATCAACATAATTATATTAATTTACCAAATCAAGTCGAATTTAATACTTTTCTTCTACTAGAAGGGCTTTAAATACCATCTGTGACATAAACCAAAATCTAGACTAAAAGCAATGTTGCTATGAGTAAAATATCCACATAAGATGCTTACGCTGCAAATGCTGTTCATTCAAATATTCTGAATTTTAAATATTATTTCAGATAATTTTTTTCCAATAATAATAATTTATATATCATTGATAAAAATTATTATTGCATATGTAATGTAAGATCGATATTGTTCATTAAGCTTGGGTCTTGCAGGAATAATCAACATTAATATAGGGCTTTATAATGAAAAATTACTAGCTAAAATAAATTTTATAATCCATTTAAGTGATTATTTTGTTAGGTTAAACTTTGTATCTCTATTGGGTTTTGAATGTACAAATCTTTTTGGTTTATTGCAAGCATACATTCAATACGATGTTATACAACATGCCAAATTTACTAATATATCTTAATTGTAGCTTTTTCAGTATAAATTATAACTTCTTATATTTGCTTTAAGATAGATATTTTGACACAAACTGTATCATATTTTGGCAAAAATATAAAATTAGTTTCATTGTCAATTATATATATGACTCATAGCAAATTAGTATTGCCAAAAAATTTATTATTCCAACAAACCTTAAAGTGTTTCCTGGCAAAGGCTTTTAAAGCTGATTAAAATACACCATGCTATAAATTAAATTATGATGAGATCGTCATTTAGTCATGAGTTTTATATTATAAATTTCTAAATTATAAAGCACCTCAGAAAACATTATTAAATTTAATTTAAAGTCATAATTATAAGTACTTTATTATTATGGTTATTAGATACAGATTTATTTATTTATGTTAATGATTTATTATTAAAACTGATGATATGTTTAAGATACGATAACTCAGAAATAACAATAACTAAATTTGACTTTAAAGTCCCAAATCTCGATTTTCTATAATATTAATATTAATGAAAGATAACATGCAAGTATAAAACTTGATTTTATTGACTATTAAATTTTAAATCTATGTTTAGATTCCTTGGTTATTATTTCAATTCTCATTTTTAGCATTTTCACTTCCTTCTTTTATGCAAATATTTTACTTGATTTTGCAAGGTGTTTAATTTCGAACACAAATTCCATAGCCTAAAACCTGTTTTAACTTTACAAACCTCATAAGGTTTACTTCAAAAAAATTAAATTAGTACGAATTAGCTAATTAATTATATAATTTTTGTATTTATTCCTTTAATATGAAAATAAATATATATTAAGTAAAATACATTGATGATAAATTAATAAATATATAAAAAACCATCTCTGTCTAAATTTATTTAATTCTAATAAAAGACCAATCTATTTCACAATATAATTGAATTCATTGTGAAAACATAATCTAATAAAATTATTCTAATCTAATATTGGCATTTTTTAAAAATTTACAGGTCCAATTTTTTTTCTGATGATCATTAATATTCAGCGAGTTGTTTATCGAAAAATTATTAAAATCTTGATAGGAAATTTTACATAAATTTAGTAAAGGTTGGAAATATTAATTGTGAAATGCATATAAGACAGATGGATTTATCCTTAAATTTTGATAGGAAAGCATAAGTCAATTTAATTAATTTATAGGAATATAATTTTAACTCTTCAATACATGTCTCGTTGCTTACATTTTTTAACTATTATTTGCATAGATCATTCACATATTTCTTACTCTTTTCTTATTTCTCTTAGTTATTCAAATCATTTATTTCATCAAATAGTTTCATTCTACAGCCATCGTCACCCATTTACTAAATTAGTGCTCAACTTCATTGTTGTGCATACGTCAACATTTTTTATCTACTCTTTATGTTTATATTTCTAATACTCTTTTAAATCCAATATATTTTATAACTATAATATCGATCCTCTTAATAGAAATAAGAATAAAAATAATTGGGGTAATTTTTATTTAATTAAGAGTAATCTGTTTTAAATTGTTATAAAAATATATGATGTTATTCTTTATTTGAAATCAGAATTTTACCAATCCCTTTAATACATCTAATAAATTACTTCTGTATCTCATACTGTTATTAAGTTATTTTGAATAATAATTAACTAAAAACACCCATTCTTATTTTATTTACCGAAATTTATAGATGCCCTCTATAACTTAAAATTTTATGTTTCAATTATTAAATTAAATTATTAAGCACCAGATATAATATTAATTCTCTTTGAATTCTATTTCAGGCTTTATGTGCTAATTAGGCTTTCTTCGCTATGGACTGTACAAGTAGTGACAAATTGCCATAACTATCAACTTAAGCTTTTTGAGCCTATATAACCGTTTTTCGTTAGTGATTAGCTACTGTATTCATTGTTTCAATTAATTCCAAACAATAGTTACTTACAATTTGAAATTTACTTAGTGTAAAAATGTTTAGGGAGATCATTTTAATCTAACTTTTTAATTAATAAAATCGACCATAAATTTTAGAGCACTTTATTATCATTTTATGATATTATTAAACCAGATCTTCGAATATATTATATGTAAATTATTTGTTTCTATAAAAATTTGGAAAGTCTTTTATAAATAACATTATTTATTACATTAAGTTTTATACAATTAGCTGGTAAGCAAATAAATTATATCTAAAAGCTACAAATGTTGCATCAAAGATCATAGATCTAATTTCAGATATATTAAATAATAAATTAAGCATACTTTTATTAAACTGTAAAATGAAGAAAGGGTTTTTATAAGTTAGGCATTAGAAATATGACAAATTCCTTTTTAATCTTATTATAAAAGAGCAAAGCTTCTAAAAGGATTTGCTATTTCTTACTTTTCAGATTTCATGAAATTACCTTATAAATGAGCAAAATGGAATTAAAATATAACAAAAAAATTTACTATAAATGGAAAACTAAAATAAATTTGTTAATTTTTAAGTATATTTTTAAGTTTTAATTGGATAAGCAGATTTCTTTAAACTAACACTAATTATTTTAACAATTTAATTATAAAATATTCAGTCAAATTTCTTTTCTAATAGAAAGAATAGGATTTTCATAAGAAATAATTTATATAATATATTAGTTAAAATTTAATTCATAAAAAAAATTGAATTTAAATGACTTAAAAAATTTCAAAACTATTACAATAAGTAGAAATTTACATTTAAAATATAAGTTATACTATTACTTTCTATATTAACAATTTCTTAAAAAAGTGAAATATTATAATTACAATATATACAACTATTTTCTTTTAGTGCAGGATAAATTTGAAAAATAAATAAATAAACATATATATTAATATTTAAAATTATAACTTGTTTTAATCTCAAATAGATTTTATTTCAATTTGTAATAATTCATATGATTCATATGATGTATATGATGCGGATTTATTTTTTTATTCATCCCAAAATATTATATAAAATTTTATTTCCTAATTTTGTTTTTAATTTGATCAAGAAAAATTAATATGTGATAATTATATATTAATAGTTTTTAATAAATGTTCTTTAACAATTATAATTTTTATTCAATTTGATAAATACAT